GGTTGTATTTAAACTCAGCAAATAAATAGAATTTGTGCACTAAAATTTGCAGTAAAATGGCATATTTATCTTTGTATCTCTGTAGAGGTTTCTCTGTAGAGGTTGTGTTAAGTTATTTTCACATAGAAAATCAACATAACATGTTATTTAACAGAGATGTTCAAACTTTTGCTGAGTCTTTTGCAGTCTGAGTGCCTCTCTATTATACAGCACAGTTTACAGCCATAAGTGCATGTATATGTATGTGTATGGTCGAGTGACTAAAGCCAATCTCTCTGTCTTCCTGTGCCCACGGTAGAGAAGAGCACATCGTGGCCTTGCTGGCTGTTCGGGGCGATGCCACTCGTGATATGAGGCAGATGATCGTTGAGACGCTGAGCCAGAGTAAGCCTTCTGCCTTCAGCAACTCCACACCGGTCTTCAGAGACATCACCGTTCCAACCATCACAGCCATGACTGCCATGAGTGTACCTAAACTGCTGAAATAACCCACGCCAGGACTGATCTAGACCTCTGGGAATTTACCAGATTAACAGTAAGAGAGATGAGAGCTCATGGTCTTCAGGATGCACCGTGGTCTACTCTTGAAGGGACAGCTGCTTATGAGGGCGACAGGACAGGGTTTACAATTATAGGTTACTGTACTTGATGTACAGAAAACTCCTAGCGGTCTTTGTTTGTTGTATTTTAAACACTAAAATCATGCCTCGCCTTCCTTACTTCAACGTTCTCCCGCTTCTCCTAACATTGGGAATCATGTGATTGAATGATGGTTTCCTTGGCATTTCACTGCTTCTGTTTGATTCATTAAAAAAAGAATCAAATTGCAGCCACTTAGTGTAATGGTTGCAGAACCACTGCTTGTTTAGATGCTTCACTCAATGATTTATTCATTAATTCACCAATCACATCCACTGATGAGTATCACACTCATACTCAGCGTGAGCAGTTCCCAAATGAGAGGAAAACACTGCAATTCAAGTCAGAGCTTTGTCAACAGAATAAGAGCAATCATTTCAGGTCAATTCAGATGAATTAAAGGAAGATAATATTACAAGACTGATCCATCGTTGGTTCTACTTTTATATTAATGGTACAAACACATCACTCATGCAGAGGCTGCTAATACACAGCTGCAGCGCTGAATGTCTCTGCGGCACTGTCCGTAAAGCCGGGCTGGGTTATGTGACCCATCGGCTGAGCTCTGGCCACTCCCACCCCTCTACGGTGGCTTTAAAGCGATAGTTTGGTCAGGAAATTAACACAGTATTCCCCTTAGCCTAAATGTAAATGATCAGCCAAGACATGTTTAGTGTCTGATGTATGCTTCTTTAGTTTTGCTCTAGAGGCTAATGCAGCTAACAAATAATGGAATCTTATAGCTACCAATAAGTACCATGCCTAAATTGTCAGACCCTCGCCTCAAACTGAGTAGAGAAAAAGGATAGATTGTTTTTATACCAAAATACCAAAGAGTGCAGTTCTGGGATCAGAAGAGTTGTAATTTTGATTATTACCTGTGTTTTTAAGAATGTCTTAAATTATAAGTAGGGAAAAGTATGTGAACTGCCTGTAGATGCGTTAGACCAATAAGAACAAACCAAACACGCATGTGCTGTGACAACACAATCGCAGCTAACTAGCAAAGTGGTGCATATATAATTGCAGTTTAAATCGCAGTCAGAAATATTTACCAAAAAACTGCAGTTTAGTGTTTTCCCCAAATAGCTCAGCCCTACTGTACTAATATCATAGACTTGATTACATCATTTCTGACACTGTATGACACTGTTATCTATAAACATGGACAAAAGGGATTAGAACTGAGATTAATAATTCAAACAGGTCTATTTGAGCTTTGTTAATAATTAATAATAATAATCAGTTTGAGAAGTATGTGATGACTAAGGCATACAGTTTGCACGATGATAACTGGTGGCTTTAAGCTTCCATTAGCCTCATAGCTCGAGTGCAAAACTGAAGAAGCTTCAGCTGCTGAAAATGCAGAAACCAAACATATCCTGGCTGATTCTATTTAGGTTAAGGATAAAATGCGGTAAGTATGATTTTTGTGAACTATCGCTTTAATTAGAGGTGTGAGCAGAGAGGAGGCAGAGCTCTGCAGTTTTAGGTCACCCAGTGCGACTTCAGTAACAGTTAGGTGTGAGTGCAGCAGGATGGGGGGGGGTGGGGTTATAAATGGGAGGATGAGATTAGAGGAGAGAGAGAGTTGGGGGGGTGGGGGGTAGGTGTGCCTGCGTGTGTGGCAGGGCATCACTTCGCTCTCATAGGTTCACGTTTCATGTGTGTGACAGCGAGGCCGTGCTGCATGCTCTGAGTGGGATGCAGGGCAGCAGCTGATTCCTGCACGCAAACCACACACACACGCACACGTCAGCGGCTGTAACCCCGGGATTACACACACGCTATGGGGCGGAGCCTCTGCTCCTGGTTTGTGAAACTTCCGCCCACCCAGCACAGCCTGTTGGAGATGAAATGCGCATTCTCTCTCTCTCACACTCCCAGCAGTCACGCACCACACTGGGGTTGGACAGCACAGTTTGCAGTTCTGCATCATTTAGTTATTCTTTCAACATGTCAAAATATGACAATCTCAGCTATAAAACATTAAAGGGGAAGTCTACCCATCTTTCAAAATTACTGCCTAATGTATTGATTAAAATGTAGTCATTCAGAGTGGTTTGATGTGAAATGCTACAGAGTCAGAATTCACAGTGGCACTAATAGCAACCATTCATCTGAAGTGTTTAATGCCTCTAAAATCTGCCTCACAGAAGGTTACTGCATAAGGTATTATATGTTGCCCAGTGGCTGAGATATTGTTTTATAATAGTCTTGAGGTTTTGGCCTAAAACATGTTTTTAAAATCCATTCATGGCAGAGAGGTCCCCCTCAAAGAAAAACAAATTCATCACTACTTTACCGAGATCAACATTACATATAAAAACTCAGTAGACTTGTAACTTTATTGCTTTTTTTGGGTAGAGAATAAAATGGTTACATTTGCTCTGTATACACCATAACCTCTGGTTCCCATCACCACTACTGTAAACACCACATCACATCACTCTGAATGAAACTGAAATCTCAGGGAATGTAGAATTTTAGAATAATGGGTGGAATTCTCCTTTTAATCAAACAATTTTCCACTGAGACTAAAATATAGATACAACTATACTCACCTATGGCTTTGTACACACATGCTTGTAATATTACGCAAATATTGGTCTGATGGTCATCTGTGTTACCCTTTCTGGCTATATAATTGGAAACCCCTCCCTTGCTGGTTAGTTAAACTGTAGCCCATCTGTTGATTGGTATTGGCCATCTTTAGGTCACACAGTGACGCCGATGTGTGTAAAAACCTCAGCAACACCACTGTGTCTGATACAGCTGTACCAGCAACACACACACACACACACAACCAACCATATTAGTGTCACTGCTGTGCTGAGAATGATTCACCACATGTATGATATCTGGTCAAAAGTGGTCCTCTGGTCAGAAACTGACCAGCGATGAATGGGTGGCTGATAAATTGTGCGACACTGTAACCAGTGAGTGGAAGTACAAAGAGAGTGTTTGTATTAAAATGGATGCTAAGTGTACAGTGGACGCCTTTGTTTGTAGGTCAGTTACAGTTCAAGTCCTTTTAGCCTGTTTAACACTGCCACCTACTGGCCAGAAAGTATAAAGCAGCAGTGCAACTGAGGGTTTGTTTTTTTTTTTCAACATTTATTGCTAATAACTTGACAGAGAAAATGCTCAATTTGCTTAAAATGCAAATATGATCAGAGATAAACTGTCACCTCTCCAGTACATATCAACATTTACATATGAAATACTGTAAACAAACTCTGAGGCCTAAATAAAAAAGACTCTTTTATACAGTACAGCATCTTAAACCTTTACGATTCTAAAAACTCAACTAATCCAAGTGGCAGGTTTCTGGGTTCAGCCTATAGACTCCAAACAGCTTTGGACAAGCCGTACAGCAATAGGGCCAGAATGACAACAATTCAGCACATGCAGAAGAAATTAAAGGATTATCTATGGCAATGCCCGGCGTAAAAACAAACAGGCCAAGCATTTGCCATATCGCAAATTCTGGATGTGCTGTAACAAGTTAAAGGCCTCCATTTCTTAGTCTTCTTTCTACTGAACATCAAAATAAAAAATTAAACTTTTCTTTTAATCAGAATCAGTACAAAACATGCCAAATTTCTCCATACAAAAGGGGTTTCTCACTGCTCCTTTGGCAATTTTCAGAAATCTTTTAGAAATAATAACCTAGACATTGTATAGTCGCTCTTACACAATCGAAGACTGTTCAAGAATAGTCAAAATGTTCCAAGCTGTGTGTGGCCATAGGCACAAAGAACTGCCACATCTTCTGGAATTAGAAAACGTTTTCAATAAGCAAGCGGGGGTCATTTTCAACATCTGGAGTTTGCCCTTATTTCCACAAAAGGTAACAAATAAAACAAAAAGGTTCTTCTCTCTATTCAGAGACCTGGTCTCTCTTCCTCACTCCCAGCGTCCAACGTCCTCAACAGTCTTTGTGACGTTTCTGTTCATAAGGCTTGAGAAAGGCTCTACAGACCAGTGACCTTGTTTGAAATCGAAATACTTCAAATGCACAGCGTTGTCTGCTCAGATGTGATGTGCGCCTGCTTATTTTTGTGCTGCATGTTTTTTTTCCTCCATGCTGCTGTTGGTGAAATTCAGCTTGAACTCATGCACACACAGCATGCAGCGGCACCCCCTGGTGGCGAAAGGCGGCGTAGGTTCCACACAACTGGAGGCAGTGAGCAGCCGGCAAAAGTCTGCTATACATCAGTGCACTTAGACACCTGGCACCCACCCACACACACACACACACACACATATATATTCACACATACAGGCTTCTTCTGAGAACATTACTAGTAGTGCATCATGTCTGAACGAAAGAAAACAAAAGCAAATCAGCAGCATATAAACAGAATGACCAAAGTATAATGTTCAACTCAGACCAGTTCACAGTATATCTGACTAGTGTAGTTATACAGTTTACATTCAAAACACTCACATTGAAAAAGAAAAAGTGTAATTATGTATTTCTTACCAAAAAAATTAATCTTCTGTAACTATCAGAAAAGAAAATGGTCTCCAAAAAAAGAAAACAAAAATATGTAAATGAAATAAACAGTAAATACAGTTTGTTTTTGTTTTTTTTTAGCTCTTATTAGCTGCTCGTAGCAAGTATAAAAATTTCTGAAACTCTTCCTTGGGCCTCTATAAAATGTGTCCATTTCAAAAAGTAGAGGCTACTAAATACTCAAGTTAAGATTCACAATAACTCCTCCCTCCTATTCTTGGCTGAAACGTGAGAATTTCAGTTGAAATATGATCATATATGGATAAATAAGATATGGAAGCATACAACAAACTGCTCTTGGCATCCAACCTATTCAGTCACATTAAAATTAAATCATTCAGTCTTCATACAGAAGCCCTAGTGTCCTTTTGTTTATGCCTTCATGAATGACTGAAACTACACTGAAAAGCTTTTGAGGGAAAAACAAACAAATAAATTTGCCTTAGTTTGGGGCCGGTTTTTCCACAATCTCTAACTCAAGAATCTTATAAAGATGCCTAATACAAATAACACAAAAATCACATCGCTTTTAACAAGGGGGTTCTGGCCTCTTTACTACAGGGAACAGCTGGAAAGTGAAACAGAGTGCTTCCATGGTCCTCTGCTGTCAATCAGCTTTGTCTAGTGCTTCCGACGAGTGTGGGGCAACGTACTTAAGCCGGAAGCCACCTGAAACACACACACACAAAAACATGCACAAGCACAAACACAGACACACATACGGAGGGGTAGTCAGTGTAACGGCTCAGAGGAACATCAGTGTGCCTTCAGAGAGCACAGATTTGCTGATCTCTGAATGCTCCTTGGCAGAATGCGAAAAACATCCTTTATATATTATAATATTATTGAATATTATAATAATATTCAGTAAAGTACACACTAGAGGTGGGCAATATTACTATATTTTGCTATTTCAGACCACATAGTCAAAATATGATGGTAGTTATAGAAGAGACTGTATGACTGTAGGAAGGGTTTGGGCATTCTGGGCAGCTTCTACTTTAAGCTAGAAGGCCGGACCAACACTTTGATCAACACAGGACTCGGATGACTGAGGAACAGGGAGGAGATGTGGTGCTGGTGGCTGTGACACAAAAGGGTGCTGGACTGGAATAAGGAGGAGCTTCAGTCAGGATCCCTCACGTGAATTATTTCATTACTCTGCTTACTGCTATTATAATAAATGACATCACAATATGCTTCTTCTGAGCATAATGTGGATATCGTCAGTTTGAGTGAGTTGAGAGAAAAGTTTTGGGGATGTATTTACAGTAAAGATTTGGGTGACTATTGACTCAGTTTTTTTTTTTTTAGCATCTGACAGCACTACAGCTGAACAAAGCTGAAAAATGATCAGCTACATCTGGGTTAAGTGGAAACTTCTAACTTCGAATTTTCTCAAACCACTCCTTTAAAGGACACAGACCAACTGCATGTTTCATTACAAAGACAGCGTAATTAGTCCTGTTTAACTGGATTTAGAGCAGTGCAGACAGTTAAGCGTTAAATAAATAAATAATAAAAATTAATAAAAATTACTGTATTCTGTTTTTGATTGTATTTTACAAAACGTGGCACTATTAGTGTTACAATTACCAAAACAGAGAAAAATAGAGAGATACATACATCTTTAAATATTGTGATGCTATATTCTCACCATATTGCTCACCCCTACTATGCTCTAATTTTTTGGCCAATATTTAGTCACTGATATCAATTATGGAAAAATTTGTTTCATTAATTTACTCAAATGCTCATATGACACAAATGGTCATTCCAATAGACTGTAAAGCACTACACTGTTCTGTTGCACAATGAAAGAACGTGCTTGCATAAATGAAACTGAATGATGGCAGCGATGTGATGGGCAAAGTGGGAAGAAAAAACAGAAGGTCGATTAGTAATAAACTGCCGATTAATCAACTAATTGTTGATCACTTAATCAGTTAAAGAAATAATCGTTAGCTGCAGCCCAAACTCGCCCTAAATCATTTCCTAATAGACTGTAATTTTATTTAATCAAATCATTGCCTTCAGAGATTTACAGCCCAACTTGTTCCCACACAAACACTGCATGGAAATGATTTGTATATTTTGCAAGACCTGTGCTGCTCCAATGCACCCTTGGCTAAAACACTGACTAAATCACCGTCTGACCCTGCCGTTACCTGGCTGCCCAGCATCCATGGACGGCTGCTTGCAGTCCTGTGCGTAGTGGCCACTCATGCCGCAGTTATAGCAGGACACTGTTCCGCCCTTCTTCAGCCCCGCCCCTCCGGGCACCACGCCCACCGGGGGAAAGAGGGGTGGGTAGAGGCGGCCGAACGCCCCCACCTGGGGCAGGGCATATCCCGGCTGAGCGGCCAGCAGGTGGTCTGAGTGGGCATGGAGTAGGGCAGAGCCTGCAAAGGCTGCGGTGGGTGAGGCATGGGCATAGAAGGGCAGGGGAGGCGTCCCGTTGTTCTGGTGGGCCTGGCTGGGGAAGGCGGCGGTGCTGCACAACGATGGAGCAAGGTGGAAAAATGGAGGAGGTGGGCCGAACACCTGGCGGGCTCCGTGGGGTGGCAGGAAGAAGTTGTGTGACTGATTGGCTGACTGGTGGGCTCCGCTGCCTCCACAGCTGCCACGACAACCACAGGCATTGCAGCCCGTCTGCTGCTGCTGGACGGTGGGTTGTGTCTGCGGCTGCGTGTGTGAGTGGGTCTGAGCTGGGAGGGGAGTGCAGGGACCAGTGCAGGCGCTGCTGGAAGATAAACAGACAAACATATTGATATAGATAAACGGATAGACAGATATATAGATAAAAGAAAGTTCAAAAAAATCAAACCATGAATTTTTAGAAAATTAGCTGGAGCTGCTTTCCAACATGACATGTTCTCATATTGAGAAACCATGACTTGTCTGAACTCTACCAGATGGCAGTGAAGAACCTGTGTCTTTGATTTTGGACAGGGTTTTTTTCATCGATGTACTCCAAAAAAAGGAAGCACAAAAAGACTACTGCATCTGGCTGATGCAGGTCAGAGTAATGTAGTACAGTTCTAATAGGATTTTCAGCTAATGGCATGTATGCGTGAGTTCAGTACGACAACAAAGCAAACTCTGTCACTCATGAACCTGTTCACTACTCAGCAGACTGTTCAGTTCAGTCATCCTGGCTCATCACATTGATTTGTCAAGTCTACTCAAGCTTTAGCAGGAACTTCAGAGGTTTTAAAGAAGCTATTTTTTTTAGTTACATCTCTACAGATCATAAGCGGATTTTATTAAATATTTAATAAAAAAGCATTAAATGGTGTTTCTTTTGAATATTTTTTTTTATTTAGTGGGTAAGAATTCTAAAAGTATTCTCTTAAAAATGTAATAGATACTAGACGCGCCATTTCACAAATCCCTCAGGGAAGCAGTCTTGGGCAAAGTGTATAATCCCCATGTTAGTGACGTTCTAACATGCTTTTTTGGAAATATTGTGTATGCATGCATACATGCCATGCAAGCATATAGATGCTCCAGAATATATTCATAATTTCTGTTATTTCTATTCTCAAGTAACTCTTCATCTTGATTAAAATCACAAGAAAGTCTGTAACTGCCAGCCCCACAGAAGACAAATAATCCACACACTCGCAGTACTACAGCATTTGCATATTGGAAATATGTTAGTGTGCATTGAGCAAAACCACAAACCACAAGTGTGGACTTTAGCACAGGTCATTTGAATGATGTCAGTGCTATGTTGCTAGCATAATGGTTTGGCTAGTCAATTAATCAAATAATAGCTCCTGCCGTGCTGGATAGAATATATACATGACAAATACACATAACTATGCATATTTACACGTACACACTGTTAATGTAAGACGAAGGTGTCTCGCTCTGAGCCGTGCTGTGGGTGAGGGACGCAGGAAGTAGTGGTCCGGGACCAGTCGTTTGGTTGGACGAGGCGTGGTGGGGCAGGGGCTGGCCAGCGACCCTGGCCTTCGCTGCAGGAGAAGCGATGGTGGATGGAACCTGAGACTGGTGTTGGGCCGCTTCTGGGCAGGCTGGCTGCAAGGGGCACTGGGTGGGTGAGAGCACACTGATGGCACCCATGGGGAGCTGCTGTGGCTGGGGGGTGGCAGGGGTCTCCACTGGGCCCCCAGAGGCTTGCCGGGTGTACCTGCGGTCCTGCTTGGTCAGGGGAATGGTGATGGTTAGTTTGCTCTCTCCAGGTTTTCCTACATCTCTGTGTGCAGGGCTGTACTGCAGGGCGTAGGGGAGGCAGGAGCTCAGGGCCAGCTCCACCACAGCCGAGGAGCGTGGGACGTCCGGGCACGGCCGGTCCGGCTCTGCCACCAGTGGGTTCACCATGGCAACTGCCTTCCGTCCTGCAGCCTTGGGAAGGTGGGATTTGTCTGCCAGATCCTGGGCAGAGTTATCCGACTGACTCTCTGTGTCTGCAAAGAGAGGAAATCGCCACACACAAGCCTTTAGCCTCGTCAAGTTATCTGAAACGTACTTGGTTCTCTGGTTATCGATTAAAAAAAGGACAAGAAAACGGCTGCTTTTGTTGTTTTTAGCTGTGTCACATTCTTTTGTCCATCTTTACAGATAACAGTGTGTCATATAGTTTCAGAAACCACACGCAAGTCTATTTGAGATCAGGAAACACCTTGATGTGGCTTAAGACAAGTGTGTTTTGATTTAGGCATGCAGTTTGTATGTTGCTAATTGGTATCCAAAACCAAATGCTACTTTAATCTAGCGTTAAGTTATGAGGCTAACATTGCTAACAAACACTAGAAGTCAAAGGAAATCACCTAAATCTTTTCCATAAAAATATCTCCAAAACTTCTCTCAACCTGCTCAAACTGCATCCAGCTCTTCACTGATGTCGTGCAGACATATTGATGTGGTTTAAGATACAGTATGACATATTGTGAGCTATAAAAATGAACAAAACTCCACCATGTAGCTCAACAACATCAGGTGTTTCAGAAATCAGGTGTTGTGCCAAATTTAGACCCCATCCCCACCCACCACATGCACAGACGCTAGCATACGGACGCTACAGGTTACGCTCTGAACTTCTGTTGTATATGTTTTTAAATTACTGTTCATCTTGTTTTTTTTAACTGAAGATATGTTTATAAATAGACACGACAGAAGCTGTTGTGATTTGCGTGCACGCGAGGAGGAGCTGGAATCTGTAGGCGAGGTGCAATTCAGCACAACACCTGTTGTCTGTTGTTGACGACAGCAAACACCTACATGGTAACGTATCATTCATTTTTATAGTGCACAGTAAGTCATACTGTGCTCTAAACCACAAAAGCGAGTCTGTGTGAACCTAAGACCTGAATGTGGTTGAGAGAAGTTTTGGGAAAAGATCTGGATGACTATTGACTGCTAGTACTTGTTAGCAACGTTAGCCCGGTAGCTTTGTTAGCCAAATATGTCTGGTGTAAATTTGATTTTTCACCAAACCATTCCTTTAATCTCAGCGTCCAAATGTATATTTACTAGCTTCACAGCTCCATCAGTTGTGGTAGTTTAAGACAGATTGCATACAGCAAACACAGTATTATAAAGGATGTAATGTCAAAGAGTTGACCTTGGGTCTCCAGGCTGCGCTGGTGATGAACAGGGCTAGACGGCACAGAGTTGGAGCTTTCTGATGATGTTTCTCCATAAGTGTCCCTGCCTGTGGCTTCAATGAATCACAACAATGCGCACACACACACACACACACACACACACACACACACACACACAAACACACAGGCTTACATAATACATCCCCAACCAGTTGTACTCATGCTGCACCAGTTCCTTACAAAACAAACACAGCTCCTCATCCAGTGATGACAGACGCATTACATTAGCATACATATAAACCGATTCATCCTCACCAGACAGCATTACAGCTCTACATATATTCTCAGTTAACTTACGATACAATCTATATGCCATCAATAATCTGACTTACACAAATAGCCACCCACACTCTTACCCTTACACACGGCCTGGGTCATCATCTGAACAGCAGGCGCTCGCTGAATCCCATTGGCTACAGAGCTTTTCACAGCTGTGCCTCTCCTGCCTCTTTCCCTGAAAAACACACACCTTTAGTGCTTAAAGCCACACTGTAGAAAAGCTAGTTGGACCTAACCAGTAGTACCTAAAGCTCTGTGCTTTAAATACTCCAAAATATGACTGTTCATGACAGATTTGTGCTTGTTTCTTTTTTCAATTAACAATTCAATGAAACAACCTAACAGCTCACTTCTAACCTACCAAAAATAGCTGAAAATACTGATTTCAGTGGTTATAAAGACAGCTTGTGATTGTGATTCAGTTTGCTTAGTACTACTGAACATAATACATAACTTGTCCGGGCTTTTTGGCTGTCATTTTACATCAGGATTTGTTTGTTTATTTGTTTGTGCTGTATTGTGTGTGGTCTGTGGGTTTGTTCCCACTGCCAACCGAGAACCAGCCACAGTAATGGAGTCTGACGTTTAACTGGGCCCCTGAATGAATGACTTAACAGTGCAGCAAAGGAGTTTGCCTGGGCCGCTGGCCGGGGAGCTTTATACCACAGTGAAAAATATGTCTGCGCTGCCAGAGATGTTTGTGTGTTTTGATTGCGGCTGATTTGTTTTAATAGTGAAGCATTCTTGGTTTTGAGAAAGATGCTATACAAATGAAACTAATTATGATAATCTTTTAGCATCAGTACTGGTGTTGTAGTACTCAAGTCTCGAGATCATAAATTAGTCTCGGTCTTAGACTCATCTCAGTATTGGGTTAAGGTGGACTCTTATAAAATAATACTATTTATTAATGTACATAATATATAATGAGTGATATTGACCATCCAATAAACTACAAATAAATTTCAGCATTTTCAGCACTTGATCTCCACTTTCAGTGAACTAAATCCTTTGCAGTAGCTCTAAGCAGCTTAACCTCCAGATTTACGTTGAGATGGGCTCTTTTCTGCTCTGCTTACAGACTCTACAGAGTGTGGGGGTGTAACGGCACACTAACACTACAAAATGTGCCAGCCCCACACTCAATGGCCACCTGCCGTATCCAACAACACAGCGGTCAGCCAAACATGTCCTGCCTTGCAGTGTGAAAATGGACACCAATCCTGCATTTTTCTCTGCACTATCTAACTGTGATGGAGCATTACGAGCAGTATTAAGACAAGTGACTGGCAAAACATTCAAGTCACCTATGTTGAAGAGAGTGTCAATATATTTTCCTCCCTCACAGCAATGATCCAACATCTAGTATAAAGTCTTCCCAGAAGAGTAGAGGCAGGTAGTTGAGGTGGAAAACTCTCCGTAAATATCAGTAAATAGTGCATTTCTTATGTATTGTTTTTCTTTTATAATTAAAATATGTCACCTTACACAATCACCTCTCATGAGCAATCACATATGCTGAGGCATACAGATTTTAAATTAAACAAAACAAGAGCACTGCTAACTGTTATGAGACTGGTCCTCGGTAGGATCTCCTGAGTACAGGTATAAGGAATCAGTATCAAAGAAAAAGAATGCCTGTTGCATCCTTAGTGGTTTGTAATTCATCCCTAGTGATCTGCAATGAACATGTACCATTTAGTACTGCATTAAAATGTGTCTCATCTCTCCAGAGAACAGCATATTAAACCCACCATCATCTCTTCGGTGGAGTAGTGAAAAAGCTCTTTGTAGCTATATATAGCCCAGTTCACACACAAACTCCAATAAGTTTAGCTCTCAAGAGGCTGAAAATGGGGCTGGGAGGGGAAGATGCTGTTCTGTGGGGAACACAGTTTTCCACTGTGCTACATTTCACTCTCCACCTCTCAACAAGCAAAACAATTACTTTGAAACGGAGGGCGAAAAAAAAACAGTCAGCACTTTCAACTTGATCAAAAAGAAAATACAACATAGCTAAAATGTAAGAGGTTGAGATAAAGCATGGACTGTGTGTATGAGTGTGTGTGGGTACCTTTTGCCTGGCGGCCTCCCTTTGTTCTTCATTGCGTTCCTCTCCTCTGAGCAGTTCTGAGTGGACACACAAACTGCTGGGTTCTCACGCTCCTGCAGTATAAAGCAAAACAGAGACAATGCAAAAAATTAACACTCCCCCAATACTCAGGTTCAAGCAAGTACAGCAGAGACAGAAGTGTGTGTGTACTGTGTAAAAAGGGATGACCAAGGCTGTATAGTACAACAGTTTTAATCAAATTTGCGATTAAAATTAGATATTTCATAAATATAAACATAAAATATTTGGTGCAAAGGTAAGCATTCATTCATTCACATGCATGCTATCATTTGCATTGCTATCATTGAGTTCTGCTTACTTAGCGAGATAAACAAACATGACCCATGTGCTACTAATTGAAGCTGCAACAGGAGACAATATTCTGTTAAACTTATTGTATGTTTCTACTCTGCTATGAAGCATGAGAGTCTTAATGCTAGCTCATTGCTAAGGTTGTGCTGTCAAGAAAGCTTTCTCACAGACGTGCTGTCAAGGAAGCGCCTGAGGTAGTTGGGTTGTTTCTCTAGCAAAGCTAACGGCAATAGGTGAAGTTAAACAGAGTAAAAAACAGTGAAAAGATATTTTTTTCAGTTTTAAATGTTACTTTGAGAAGCCAACATCTTGGCATGTCATCCACTGAAGAGGAGAAACCCCATTTAGGGGACAATGAGTCACCCTCAGCATTTAATATTTCACAATGGGTAAAGGATTTCCCTTCACTTTTTAAGACCGAGCCAACAGTGAATTGTTAGTCAGTACTCTCAAGCAACAGGCAAGGCAAGACGCCCTACATAACCGGCAATCCAATTTTCAAACGCGATAGTGCTCACAGGCACGGCCTGTCAAAAAGACATATCGTATGTGTAGATGTCCATCTTCCAGAGACTCTGCAAGACACTGTAAGACTCAGCACTGCTGTTGTAAACTGGCAAAAAAGTAGGATGAAATATGTTCTTCTGGGGAGAAAAGAAGGCCTGAAGACTCTTACCTGCTGTGGCTCCGCCCCACTCTGCTGGGAGCTTCGCCTCCTCCCTTTCACCTCTCCATTCATCTCACTGTGGACACTCCTTCTGCTGCACTCCCACTGGCTGACCTCTGGCTGCTGCTTACTAGAGAGAGAGAGAGAGAGAGAGAGAGAGAGAGAGAGAGAGAGAGAGAGAGAGTGAGAGAGTGAGAGAGTGAGAGAGTGTGTAAGAGTGAGTGAGTGAGTAAGAGTGAGTGAGTGAGTGACTCTATAGTACATCTCAATGTGTATGAAACTCACCTGTGTCCTGTATTTCTGACACTGTGTGTAAGGTTCCTCGAGCAGGAGACTCCAAAGGCATCAACATCTGGACACAAGAAAAAGTTTCAATACACAAAATCAAATCAGCAACAGCCAGCTAAACAGCTGCCATCATCTGACTGGGTCTCTCTTTCCCAAATGACGAAGACAAACCTGAGCTTTTAGCGAAGGCAAGCATCTGTTAGCCCATATGAGATTTCAATATAGCAGATGTGAGCAGTGAATGCATGTGGGGGTGTTTGTTTTCATACGTTTCCCAGGCAAATAAATTAGTCAGTGTTAGCAGTGTTCTTTCTTTTTTTTCTTTTTTAAATAATAGTCAAATATATGTGCAATTCTTATTATATACAGACACTCGCATAAACTGTATTGTGCAGAATTCAGAGACCACCTTTTCATTTATTTAATTTCCAGTCAAAACAACCATTAATTATAAGTTATTCGATTTTGACATCTGAAAAACTGCAAAAATTTTTTACAGAATATTACACAGTAGCCTCAACATCTAAATACAATATTTTTTTCAGTATTTAGTGTGTCACCTCCATTTGACTTTATTACAGCTTCCATTCTTTTTGTGAGACTTGCTTTCAATTTTTCAAAGAAACCTGCAGGGATTTCTTTTCCAGTTCAGTCTTAAAGTTACAATTTTTGCTTCTCACAATCCAAGTAATCCCAAACAAACACATTCAGTGATGTTTTGGTCTGGGCTACGATGTTTAGTAATCCCAATGACAGTAACAGGGGTGACTGATCAAAGCCTGGTACAGATGAAGAATCTCTTCATGTCACTGGTTTGATAATAAAAACAATAGAGTGGGCGTGGAGGACCTGTGGCAAAAAGCATCACTTTTTTTGAAGATGTTTTTTTTGGTACTGAAGCATGTTTCTGAATTGTAAATACAATGCACATATGATAAACATTTTTTGAATAATTCTTGCCACAAATTCTTAATTTTGGCTGCAAGATTCATTGGCTTGGTGGCCTGAGTGGGAAGTGCAGACTTTTATATAAGCCTACCTTGGCATTATTACTACCTTAAATACATTTATGACAAATATGTACATATTGATACTTGTATAATACATATATGGGAAATATCACTATTAAATACAGATACTTAAACATATTCAGTCGTATTCAAAGGAACACCCCTGGACAAATACATGAAACACAGGAAATCTTAAATATGGGATTCGTTTGCAAGTCTCCTTGGGAAAAACAAAAAACATAAAATTGAATTAAAATAAAACACAATGTCAGGATAAAACATTTTGCGCAAACCAGATTGCCCTAATGTGCTAAATTCAGTAAATAAGCAATAATTGTGCATTAAAATGTAAAGAAGATTTCTCTGTAGAGGATGTGTACTTTTTTAGGCACTTAGAATGGGACCTACAAATGACTGCACAACCTGACACAGTATAAAAATAAGAGTGTATGTGTGTTTGTGTGAGAGAGTGTGTATATCTCACCCTCCTCCAGGCTGGAGGTCTCTGAGCAGTCCTCTGAGAAGCGAGGAGCTGGCTGTCGCATTCTGGCTCCAGGTGCGCTGTTGCCTACAGACAGGAACCCATAGTTAGATATTACACCTCCCTCAGGACACACACACACACAGAACACCTGTCACACTGTACCACATACAGTACGTCTGCATACTGTATAGATTCACTGCACCACAGGCAACAGCCAAACCTAATAATACCCTGCTAGGCCCTGCTGGCAATATTCAAATATAATTCATGTCATAAACTGCCTTGTGAGCAAAGCAGTATGTAGGAATGTGCATGATTTAAACAACACCATGACTGTCAGCCCTTGTGCAATAGCAGACTGATGTCACTGTAGTTACACATTTCCCCCTCTAGATGCAGGTCTGATCTGTGTACAAGAGTGCCAACTACAACACAGCAGAATCAAGGCACCAGGGTATTCTATGAAGTCAGCCTGCCCTACGATAAATAGCTCAAATATGTTCAGTGTTTTAATTCAGTATAAAAAGGATCCATTGTAAATGTACTGAATAAAAATTAAGTGGCTTTTTGGATTGCCAGGACTAAACCTGCTAAGACAACGTTATATCAGTACTGAAGTACTACTATATAGTACCATCCTACTCATATAAAAGATTTTCTTCATGTTTATTACTTCTTTCATCTTTCAACATTTCACAGTAATATACATCACCAAACATTTTTTGCCTAGGGAAGAAAAACATCAAGCCTTTATATGATGTCTTTAGGATAATAAAAAAGAAATTCATTCAGGTGTGTCCAGACTTTACTACTTTCTCCTGTACAATGTCAGGAATACCAGATTTTGAAATTGCTAGTATATCATCTACATACTACCCTAGTTTTACAGAGAGATAACATTGGTTCTTTCTTCCCAAACCCATGAAAAAACTGCATCACTCCATGCTTTGCTATTTTCAAAGCTAGGAACCCTGTAATTCACAGATGCAAAGTACAGGCTCTGCTTGAATGTCTTGGCAGGCGGAGGCTGAATTTTTATGGTGGAATGATGTGCTTGTTGCTGCTGCTGAAGCAAATGTAAGGGGGACTTACAGTGGCTGCAGTGCAGGGAAGACACATCAGGCGGGAAAAACCCAGAAACCTGGCACATCTGAAGAAACTCCTGCGGCACGGACAAAAACATCTCCCTGCACAAGACACAGGCGAAGATAGAATCAGCCAGGGTGAGAAAGTGAGACAACAGGAACAAGTGTAAATGAAGAGCTAAGAAGAAAAATGAGAGCTAAAAAGAGGGAGAGTGAGAGAGAACAGAGGGAGGGAGCGACTGATTGAAGTAGATTATTCAATATTCACCAGGATTCAATATTGTCAATAGGGCTGTATACGATAAACAAAAAAGAAAATTAAATCATTAATCGCAATTATCTATATGAGTTAATCATCAGCTAAAATTTCATGATCGTGACAGCTTTAGTAACAATTCTACATCCTGGTACTGCAGACTAAATAGCTCAGATGAGCTATTTAGCTTCCTAGCTGTTGTTACTGTGTAGCCAACACAAGGTCACACTGACATGAAATGATATACAGCACTGTAGTGCCCACAAGCACAATCACACGTTTCTACAGTTAGACTCGTGTACAGTTTAACCAAAGCTTACATGTTTTTTCTTGAGACTTCAAAATTGCACTGGCTGACTTTTACGAGTTGTAAACATGTGAACATATGTTACAGCGCCAGTTTATAAACTTGTGTTATTTCTCTAAGACAAATAACTTGTCTCAGTGAAAGTGTCTCCTGCTTTCTTTTATTTAGCTGAGCTGATGAAAACACATCCATCTCATATTCTGCATGTGATTTGAAACGGAAAGTAACTGTGGAATATAACCACTGGCCAGCTCAAATAACTGTGATGATCTCAAATAACTGCGATCAGGCAATATCATGGTTAAAGCAAAGAGGGGAAACAAGTATATTGTTCCTCCGTTATTTGATATACCTTCACGTCATGCATCAACTTCAAATTTATACACATAATGTCTTTTGACTTTGTATTCATAAATACGAACAAAAAAGCATGTATTCATAAGCAACATTGTACATAAATGCATCAATCTGCAGGTGGTGATTCAAAGGCTTGTAATAATATTCAATAAAGCATGCACTTTTTAATATAATGCACCTATAATACCTTACTGCAGCTATTACCAATATCAATAACCAACAGCGTTAAGGTAGCTGCTCAAAAAAAGCTATTTATTACAAATTACTAATTGCTTCTCTCAAACTGTGATGGGAAAAAGTAATCTCACTATTTAGTACTTTACCTCTAAGTTACTCTCTAAAACCCATAGTATTTTCCCTATAATTTCCAATTGGCACAGATATGCATAATGCAAATGATACAAATGAATGAAACAAATAATACAAATCTGTAGCAACTCAGAAATACAAGAGAAAAAACAATAGCAGTACAAAAACAGCTGCGTCAAACAAAGATAATATCTTAATGAATAAAATGTAAAGCTTGCAAAGAATTAAAATTGTGTTTTTTGTTTAGGTAAGGTTGTGGTTTTCTCTTGTTTAGCATAGAGATTTTTAGCCATAAGTTTAACATTAGCATAACTAGATGCTTCGACAGATTGCTTGAAAATCTGTAATATAATTAGAAGAATTTAAACTGTAATATGTTACACAAAGGAAAAAGTCATCACATTACTGTAAAGTTACTTTGTACGACATCAGAATTCAGATTATCGGTGTTGGGTGTAACGGTGGATCACTGAATAATTTTAAATAATCAGACATGGCAACTATTGTAAACCTCTTTTTCAGTGATGTGCAATGATGTCGGCTCAGCCATCTTGGTGCATACCTACTTATTTTATATAAATATTATACATTATTAAACTCTTATCCAGAGCTGTTCATACCAGCAGGTTACTGTAACATTAGGTTTCTTGTCCAACGACGCTTTTTGTGAATATGAAAGAATGTGAACTGGATTTGAGATTTCACAATGCAATGAATCGTTTCACCAAGACGTGTAAATGAAGCGCATTACTGTCAGAGATTGGCAGCACTTGTAATAAAAAGCTACATGAGGCAATATTTCAGCTGCCTCTTCAGTTCTGCCTGCACTCACAGTGTGCAAGCCACTCAGAGAGGATCCTGCAGGCTTCTCTTCACTGTTTGTGTTTCTGGCCAGACCGGGCAAAAGCGGTCACATTTCAAACACGCCACAGGAAGAAGAATCCCCCGCGGTACTGACATCAGGCCTGCTGACCTAAATATTGCAGCTTGCCTTTAAGCTCTGAAAGGACACTTTCCATTTCATGCAAAAAGCTCCCATCCTAAAATGATTCCAAACCTTCACACCCACTTGAAATACCCACTGCTTTGCACAGATGGCAAGGACAAGAATCATCACTCTCCAAACCTATGTTTAAGCTCCCGAGGGGTTTTAAGAAAACTGAAATCACTTATTCGGCACACTGTCTTCCGGTCAATATCAGCACTGTAGATTACACAGTTGTGTGATATGAATTGCAAGCAGTCAGTGCAGAAATATAAATAAATGCTGCATTCTACCAGATTTTCACTCAATTTTTTTCACGCTGTGTGTGAAAGAGCTCAGGAGAAGCTGCTTCAGCCGTATTAGGATAATCTGCACAGCATAAATATATGCCAGAAGCATCAGTATAAGAGGTCGATGAACACTACTTCTAACAAGTGAGGCAAGCTGTTATTTGGAACTGGTATGAATTTGTGGGTTATACAAAGCCATGTTACAAGCCAAGTTACAGTATTGAAAAGAAGAGTGAGGATGAAAAGGCAGGAGTGCAGAACCCACTCACCTGAGCATTCTCTCCAGGTCTCTGTGCTCACCCTCAGCCTGATTCAGTAAACCCACAATGCTCTGCTCCAAGCCAGTTGAGCCTTGCTCCTTATTCAGCTACAGAAACAGAGAGAAACAGATTGAAAAAGACAAACGGACTTACAGTGATGGTTCAACCAAAAATCACATTCACACAATTCCCCTTTCCCCAGATTTAATTAGTCAATCAGCCAGGGCAGGTTTTGGTGTCTGAAGTTTGCATTTTGGAGTTACACTATATGGACAAAAGTATTGAGACACACCTCTTAATACACAGAATTCAGGTGTTTCATTCCGTTCCATTGCCACAGATGTATAAAATCAAGCACCTAGTAATACAATCTGCCTTTGCAAACATTTGTGTAAGAACGGGTCGTTCTAAAGAGCTCACTGAATTTGAGCATGGTACTGTAATCAGATTTGTGAAGTCGGTTCGTGAAATTTCTTCCCTCCTAGATATTCCACAATCAACTATGATTGGTATTATTGAAAAGCAGAAACGTTCAGGAACCACAGCAACGAAGTGACAGACCACATAAACTTACAGAGCGGGGTCATAGTGCATAAAAGTGGCCAACACTCTGCTGACTTAGTAACTGCCGAGTTCCAAACCTCCTCTGGCTTTAACATCAGCACAAAAACTGTGTGCCAGGAGCTTCATGAAATGGGTTTTCATGTCTGAGCAGCTGCAAGCCTTACATCACCAAGCACAATGCCAAGCATCAGATGCAGTGATGTAAAGCACACCACCACTGGATTCTGGAGCAGTGGAAACATATTCTGTGGAGGGATGAATCATCCTTCTCTATCTGGCAGTCTGATGGACGAGTCTGGGTTTGGCAAATGCCAGGAGAACATTACCTGCCTGACTGCATTGTGCCAACTGTAAAGTTTGGTGGAGGAGGGATAATGCTATGGGGTTGTGTTTCAGGGGTTGGCCTATTGGCCCCTTAGTTCAAGTGAAGGGAAATCTTAATGCTTCAGCACCAAGACATTTTGGACAACTGTATGCTTCCAACTTTGTAGGAACAGTTTAGGGAAGACCCTTTTCTGTTCCAGCATGACTGTGTCCCAGTGCACAAAGCAAGGTCCATAAAGGCATGGTTGGGTGAGTTTGGTGTGGAAGACTGACCCACACAGAGCCTGTTCTTCAGAATCAGACCAAACGGGCTGCAGCTCACATATTATGTTATAAAAGTTATCTAATGTATGCACTTTCAGTTTTTTATGTACTACAGTAGAAATTTAGTAATAGCATAAAGCCAGTCATGACTTGTCATCCAGTGCACAGCTGAATGACCAATTAATAAATAAATAAATAAATAAATAAATAAATAAATAAATAAATAAGAGCACGAGCAGAATGCTTCTCAACTAATCAGATTGTAGGGGCAAAACTAACTTAACACAGTTTAAGGCAAGTAAGCAAGCATGCATTTTGCATGATGCTAACATGTGGGTACAAGCTCCCCATTACATGTTAGCTACAGTATCTTTGTAGCTAATGTGTGAAACAAAATAAATAAACCTTTGATACAAAACATGGCTGACTGACTTTTTTTGTGCAAGAAGAAAATTTTGTGCAAATCTGTCGGAAACTTCACTTTAACCACGTCTAAAAGCTTAGGTTAAGCAGGTGTAAGGCATCCTATCCCATGACATTAGGCACTTTGCTTTATTCAATGCATTTACTTCTATTTAAAATAGCATCTACTGCCCACTGTTGGTAGACTGAAAAGTGAATGGTTCTATTTTATTATATAACCATGAGGACATGAAGGCCATGCTTTGCTTTCAAAGAAGAAAAAAAATGCACTTTAAGGAAGGCTGATACAATTCAAATGAAATGCACCTGCCGTCCACAAACTGACCACTGCAATAGCAGGAATTGAACAGCACAAATACCTTCGACAGAAAGTCCTGTAATTCACGGTGACTTTTGGTCACAGCAGTAGACGAGGAGTCTGACCAATTCACCTGGAAAGAGAGAGACGGGGTTAGACTTACAGGAAAGTGTTACTCTAAACCGAGACAGATGCAAGGTTTCCTTTCAGCAGGACAGTATTTCACCTGACATGACTAACTTCCCTCCTTATGGTCAGCTTGCATAACTTCTGCCTCCCTACCATTTACTGCTTTATAGTGCTTCATCGTTTCATGCACTATCAAAAGCCAATTTAAAAAGTTTTCTACCACTATGTCATCCCTTTTAAAAGTTAAGTACAGGCTATATAAAGGTCATGGCAAAATTTAGGCCCATTTCCTAAAACAATCTGGCCAGGTCTGACGTATGAGAAACTACAAGCATCAAGACAATGACATCAGCTATGAAGCATGTGCCCAGAATGTTTCAGAATTCCAGTGCGGTTACACCAGCTCATTACAGTTTTACCACAACATTCCTCTACTGTGCTCTTTTTTTGGTGAACAACCAAAACTGCTGCAGTGCCACAGTATCTAGTGTGCCAGACTAGGAAAACCACCTTCTGATGATATACAGCTGTATGCAAGAGTTACGCCATTGCTAGCTTGACTGTAGTTATTTGTCCACAGATCAGTCACTAGGCTAGCCAGCAGCCAGGACTGGGTGACACAAATGGTTGCATGATGTATTTGTGTAATGCATGCTGGGTAGTGTAGTGAGAGAACACTGATGAAGAAAACACTGAAGCCATATAAAACCGTAACTCCAGATGAAGCTTAAGGATATTATAATATAATTAACTCTACTTTTAACCAGGAATGTACCTTTAACTAATCTAGAACATTTACAGTCTTTAGACTTTTCAAAAATGGTTCTTTAAAGAAGCATCCATCAAAAGGTTCTTTAGGAAGCTAAAAGCTTTCAAAGAACCCTCTTTGGTACCTTTATTTTTAAGTGTATAGCTTTGTGCTGTACATACAGGGTTTATTTAAAAAAAGCTGCTTTGTAATGGCAAACCTAATATTCTATACTGGCCTCAATTCTTTCATGCAAAGGCCTATAATGTGCTACATTTAGAACAAAGGAAACAGCTAATAGGCATGCTGTTCCAGAGACTGGAGGCTCCATCACTAAAGCAGATCTAAACTAGATTAGACTGAGGGTAGATTGGATGAGAGAAATATTGTTCCCTTCAGCCACTAAATATGTACACCTTGTCCAAGTCCAAATAGGTGGACAGCTTCGGAGCTCACTGGAAACAAATTAATATATGGGAGTTCAGTACAAAACCCCCTGCTCATTCAGAGCATGGTGAGTCATCTCAGAAGCTTCCAGAATGTTCCAGAACACACGCTAGAGGTTGGACGATGAGGCAAATCAGCATGTATTTCTGGAAACAGCGCATTAACTGCTGACCTTCTGATCAGTGGATAATAATAAAATGTTGCCACACTCGAACAATGTTTGTGGGTTTACAGTGAGGTTGGGTGGCGGAGTGGGGAACTGATGATGAGCTCAAACAAACGGCGGGAAATAAGCGTGGTGATTGTGAAATTTTCTGGCAGATCCCTGTGAAGCGAGAGTCGATAAGAGGATGGCTGTAATTACAGCAATTCATCATTCCCCAGACGCCAACGAAAGGGTGTCGAAGTGTTTATCTGCGACTCTAAATCGGCCTCTTTCAACAGCGAGGCGGCCCATAGCGCAGAGTAAACATCTCGCTCTTAATAAGGGCCAGCAGGCTGTTTTGTCTGGATCCCCACTTGCCAGCAGACTGTTTGTAAGGCCCCCACAAGCTCCGAGTGAATACTGATGTCTTAATAGCAGGCTAACATGCAGCACAATCCTCAGCAGTCTACACATAGGAAGGCGGTGTCAGAGCTTTTTTTCCCCCCATCCTAAATGGTGTATTTTTCATTTTTGTGGTCCTCATTTGCAAGGGCTGTACAGTAGGGGTGGGCGATATGGTAAAAATATAACAAGATTAAGATACTTCAAGACTTTACCTCGATACTCGATATGCATGTAAGATTTAGTGCATTTAAGCATACTGTGATGTAACTTTTCACTATAATGATAAATATTGTCATATTGCCCACTCCCACTGTAAAGGAGCCATATTTGGTGCTCACAAACACCCTCTATACAGCCTTTTGCAAAGCCCACATCACTGTGGTCACAGCTGTGGCCCCTTATTTAAAATTTCCTGACCAACATGACACAAAATATACATATTCACATGCGAATGCATTTCATTAACTTACTGCGCTGCGTTATGCCACTGCAGACAAACATAATAGCTAGTATTAAAAGAAACCAATATGGTTGACAACTTCCCCAAGTACCATACATGCAACCAATATATATAACCAACTTACAAGTTTGTCCCAAATGCCTCCTTCAACGACTCTTGCTCTATATACATAGATGACATCTATATACATAGATGACATCACCAAAGAGATGATTTGGGAGGCCAAATGCAGAGCTTTGCCATGTTGGACAGGCCACCTGTTTGCATTTAACATCAGCAGAAGCCTCAGTTTGAAATTTGAAATGTGAGTTAAGCCCTCCTCAAACTGGATTAGGATTACCTGGGGAGGTACTGTGATTTGAGTGATTACTGACGAGATTTGTGAGTTTAATTCAATATGAATCTGCCACGTACGTAGTCTTCACAGATCTGCTAATTGAGAATTCTGAAGCTCATTACCTTTTATAATTCCCAAAACTCGGAGCTCCTTCGGTAATAGTAGCCCTGCTAGAATTAACCTTACTGTAATGTAATAACATATCCTGATTTTAAACATCAGTTTTGGTAGTTTGGCAGTTTTTCACATCAGGTTGTTTGCAATCGGGAGACAAGGCTACCTGCTAAAATGGAGCTCTTGGCACAGTTCCTTTACCCTCAAGTTTAAAACAGCACTACAGTAAACTAAAATATTTTTAGTGACAGGCTAACTAGAAGGAGAATGAAATTAAACATCTGACAGTACCTCTCCGAAGGGAGAGCGATTTCTGTCCTGTTGTGGAAAATCTGTTAAGTTAAATGAGCCCACTTTACTAGCCTAATGCTACTCTGGTACTAACTGGAAATTCTAATCTGAACACTGAAGTAAACGGCTAGGTTATCCGGGGTAATTTGGGAAAATTACAGAGATACTTTATCCCATAGCAATCAGCCAGTCGAATCCCTTACAAATTACGTCACCAGACCTCTTCTGGTTAAACAAATCCAGCTTGAATAGGATCTATGATGTCTTTGCTCTTCAATAACTGTATTTCTACACCACTTTATGTGTTAGGCTATTTGTGATATGCAGCTAAAGATTTCAAAATTTTCAAATGACAAGTGGCCATGTTTATTATAGCTATCTGGCGAGTGTTAGTTTACTGCACACCAAAGCATGATTCAATGACACAAGGTACTACGTTGTCATATAAAAATCTGGGTTCAAGACAGTGAAGAACATGATGTATAGTATAAAGCCAATTTCACGGTGCGACACAGAACTGGAACCACTCCTTAAAGTTTGTTATTTCACACTGGACGCAACTGCAAGTTTGCTGTTTGTGTGGCGTTCTCATGTAATATAAACATCTGTATTGTCCATTTATTACTCATATAAGCTTTATGTAGATGACAAACAGATCAACAATAAAATCTTGACTAGCGGCCTTGTCCGTTGCTGGCTTTCTCACCAGGTGATGTAGCGCCATATGAAGATGACTGCATGTTCACACCATTAACCTACTCAAGGGATTTCAGTCAAACCTGTAAAACTAGATTTTGTTGATTTGTTTATTAGCCCAGATTGTACATTATAGCACAGACATTGCATTTCTTTACTGTTTCTGTGTAGAAACTGCTGGCATGTCGCACGCGTCAGAAATAAGACCCAAAGTTTCACGCGCTTAACCGTCACGGTGCCACATGGTGCGCATAGCCCGTCTGAAAAGCTACATTGATTAACATAGAAGTGTACTGCGCGTGGCACTGCACGGTGCGTTCTGCAGCATGGTTACCACGTCTGGTGTGAAACGGGCTTAAGAATATAGTGCACTGCGCCTGAACTGAAACACAGGACTAGTGTGGCTAGCATGGGAGAGGTTAGGGAGTTAGAACTCCACTGGCAGTGATGTATGGGCATCTCTGTTTGAAATGCAGCTGGGTGTTTGGATGGGAAAAGTGAGAAAGCCAAGAGCGAGAGGAGATTGCTTCCTGCTTTTTTTTAAGCAAGTAGTGGACCATGCTGCCCTTTCCACCACCCTCTTTGGACAAATGGGAAACAAAGTATTAGCTCAAGAATCTCTACTTGGCAAACCAAGCCAAAAGAACAACTCATCCACTTCAGTGTGAGGCACTTGGCCATCTCCTGCTTGCAGCAATCCTGCAGATTAATGCAGCTAGACTTGAACAGCGTGAGGCTTGACAAGAGGAAGCTATTTGAGACCGTTACCCGGATTATGTAATAGTAGGCTATGTTATCAGACTACATTACTTATGACTAATGCATTCCTATCACACCTGTCAGCCACCGTTTCCTGTTCTTTCGCAAGAAATACAGCCATAGAACATGGAACATATTATCAGTGAATAACTGTATTCAAAGGAAACTGAAAACATCACATATTGCAGGTAGAGCTGGGCGATATGGCCAAAAATGTTATCACGATAAACAAAATTTATATCGTTCGATATCGATACATATCGCGATAAATGTCAAATCTGTTGACAGGTTTGAAGGCTGATTTTTGCTCCTGGGTGGTTAATTGCTGTTTTAAACTATGCTTTATGGTCAGAACACAACAAACACTCACCAAACAGTGGAACATTTCACTAATCTGTCGTGGGAGAGTGGGAGAAAGTGTCTGGTGACCTGTTTTTACCAGCTGGAAAAGCATGGCTATTTTGCGCTTGGCTACCCCATTACAAATGACATCACAGTATTCAGACACCAGCTAGCGACGACTGGATATTTAATTGTAGTAGTTTAAGGGGTGAACCGCAAAATATCAACACCAGACAAACAGAGTCCTGCTTTTAGGTACA